TTTCTACTTGATTGGCATCTTATCATGAAAACATGATATTTTTTACGGGCAACCAAGGACACTTTTTATGGACGTTATATGACATTTTTTATGGACATCATAGAACACTCTTTATGGACATCACATGTTTTGTTGACATTATATGACACCTTTTATGGGCATCATATGACGCTTTTTTTATGGACGTCATCTTCTGTATTGTTTATCACGACATGTTGGAGGAGCAAGATGTAGTCTTTCAACGTCGTGACAAAGAATAGAGAAGTTGATATTAAGTTTAATTTAATTATGCCAAACGCGTTAATTGAAATGTATGCCTGCTAAAAAGGTGCCCTCTGTATTCATATATATGTATTGATAACCTTAGAATGTTAATAGTTATGATTACCCAGATAGCAGTCAGACTTTGGGCCAACGTTATCACTTACTTTGGGCCAACGTCTGAATGAGTGAGTGAGTGAATATGGTTTTACGCCGCTTTTAGCAATATTCCAGCAATATGTCGGCGGGTGACACCAGAAATATTCTTCACACATTGTACCAATGTCAGGTATCGAACCCAGGTCTTCGGCGTGACGAGCGAACGCTTTAACCACTAGGCTACCCGACCGCCCCGCCAACGTCTGAATGCTAACCGGGTATATGCATAGAAGATGTCGTTTTGCAGACATACGTCTTTTCAAAAAAGACAAAGTTAGCTTGATGACAGAACAAACACAGGGTGATATATAATGTCCATCTCCTTTAAAACTATGTTTTATCCCTTTGGTGGTATGGAATTAGTCATACAAAATTTGAATATGAAAAGTATAAAATTTTCATTTTTAAAAATATAAATAAATATTTTTTAGAATGCCTTAGGGGGGTTATCTTCTGCACAAATAAACACCCATGCATATAAATACTTCAAAGAAATACATATTACTAAACCCATTAGTGATAATGGATACTTGTCATTTATGTCGTGTCGATAAACGCAATTCCGTTGTGGCGTATGTAGGTCAAGTAGAACTTAAGGTATAGCTCGTTTAAACAAACAAAAAGACTTTGACCTGATTACGATCTGTCTTGTGTACTTTTGATGTACCAGGATCCGCTGATGGCGGGTTTGAATCTCAATTCTTTGGTCTGTCAGTACCCGTGCTTGTGGGTTCCATCGATCGGTGGGACATGTTCACGACCCATCACTTAACTTTCCTCCCACATTAAGCGGACACGTCATGATATATCTGAACTACTGTTCAAAGCGGCGTTATGCCCAACACACCAACCGACTATGATCCTAATTTTACAAAGAAGACAAAGGCAGAAAAACACACGATGAAGTTGATTACTTTTATTCTTTCAATATTTCTCTTCCTCTGTATGGAAACCAAAGTGTTAGCTCTGTTAAATCTGCATCTTTGATAAGAAACATGCCGAATGACTCGCATGATGGAGATATGCCTTTGATGAGAAATACGTTTTGTTTTCGTCAGAGTAAAACAATATCTTTCACAAGAATTAGGCCCCTTTGGGAAGCGTGAGAACGCCAACCTCCTTTGAATTTCTCCTGGCAGTCAGTTTTGTACTTTATGTATACTTGTTTTTTCAACGCACATAAGTTGAAATTTAAAGCACGAGACAGTGCTTTACTGAAGGTGCGATTTCATGCGTCAGTGGTTAAATTTGTTTCAAAGAGTATAAAAAAAACTCCTGGGACACACAAGGCCTTGTTCTACAACGCTATCTTAACGCTACGTCCACCACCCACCTATACTTCAACATTGCCTTACATTTGGGGCACGGCTGGCCCTTTCGTCAATTTGCTGTGCAGAATTAGCGCCTCTTAGGCTTGCCAGAAACCTATGATTGGTTCGAATCCTAGATTAGGTTTGACAATACCTAAACCCATGCTTGTGGGCAAACGTTTAAGACCTGCATCGATTTGAGCTTTCTTCCAACATCAAACTGACAGCAGCGTTAAACTGAACTCGCTCACTTGACAGACTCGTGAAGATCCAGGGTAGAATAGGTCTTCAGCAACCCATGCTTGTCGTAAAACGCGATTATGCTTGTCGTAACAGGCGACTAAAGGGATCGGGTGGTCAGGTTCGCTGACTTGGTTGAAGCATGTCATCGTATACCAATTGCATGGATCTATGCCCATGACGTCAATCACTGGATTGTTTGGTCCAGACTCGATTATTTACATCAACCAAGCCAGAGAGCTAAAAAAAAAATGTTGATGCTAAAAAAAATGAGTGTAGTGGTGTTAAGACATTGCAAGTCAACAAACAACTGATCACCTAAAACAAATTATTAGATTATGAAAAAAAAATAAATAAATAAACAAACTGTCCTTCACGTATGGTATTCCGCTCCTACGCTTTCCTGTTAAGTGCTGTATGTTGTATGGACTTCCGTATAGTTTCGAAAGCAATTCCTTTTTTTGTTCCGCTACATGTGTGTGTTTTGTACGGGAGAACGTGTGGAGATTTCCCCATCCCAAACTTTCCCTCTCGCCGCTTATTTCCTTCTGTGTGACAGCTATTCCCTCAGACAATCCCTTCACAAATAGCCGTCATTACCAATTTACAAACCCGCCGTGCCGGACGCTGTATCGTCGGATCATAGGTTTTCGGGCATCATACTTTTTCGGACGGCCATGTTTATCGCGATTTCTCGCGATAATAACGGGGAGTGTAGCATCACACAGACATTGTAAATACTCAGATGATGGCTTGTTTTTAAGAGAAAGTTGTCTTTTATAAGTGAATGAGACGTTTTACAGTTGTTCATGTGATTAGAGAGAAAACCTTCGAAAAGCCATAACAAGGGGGTGCGTCAACACATATATTAAGTCGTTGGTGTACTTATTTACACACTACATTTTCGTAAATTGAGCCAATATTCATTCAACCGATTCGCCGTATTGACGGCTAAAGTATCTGTTATACGCAAACAGCCACATAACAACTTGGATAAATATAAATGGCTGCAGACAGAGTCTATGGTTATAAACAAATGAGTAAATACTAACGCAAGAAGGGATCATTTACATCAATATTATAACATCTCTCCAACAAATATGCACTTATTGGATTGTGGTTTAATGCCGCTGTATTGCAGGTATGCATCAGTATCAAGGTTATTGACCTCGAAGATGGGTTTCACATATTGTACCGACTTTGGAACATAAACTCATGTTGGGAATTGGTGAGGTGGGGTGGAATGGGGTTTAAGTGAGTGAGTGAGTATGGTTTTACGCCGCTTTTAGCAATATTCCAGCAATACCACGGCAATATCACACCAGAAATGGGCTTCACACATTGTACCCATGTCGGGATTCGAACCCGGGTCGAACGGCGAACGGGATCGGTTGGTCAGGCTCGCTGACTTGGTTGATGCATGTCATCGTATACCAATTGCGTGGAACGATGTTCATGATATCAATCACTGTATTGTGTGGTCCAGACTTGATTATTTACAGACCGCCATCTTATAGCTTGAATATTGCTGAGTGCGGTGTTAAACAACAAACAAACATTATCGCACATATAACGCGTGATATCATACATGTATCATATATGAGTTGTATAAAATATGAAACTACATAGCTGAATTGTTTTTATGTTCACATTAGTTTGTGGAAACATAATCTGAATCGGTCCTCGTGCGTTTCATGAGAATTCTTCTATACCTTTTGCCTCATTTTGTATCGATCCATCATTAATCACTATATCACTGTCTCGGTTTCGTTGAGTCTGTGATGTTGACTTTATCCCTCATTGATGTTTCTGTACTAAAGGACAACTTTAAATATAAGCCCTTTTGGGCCAATACTGGGAATAAAAGTGACATCGATCCTTTCCATAATCAGAGGAAGTCTCTTCTGAAAGCAGAGTCCATTGTACGAGTCCGAGTATATCATAAACATGTGTTTAAGAATCACTATCAAATAATGATGTGGCATCCGTCACAAACACATGCAAAGGCAAGTCTATTATTCACCTAAAAAAAAAGTAGGTCGGTAGGTCCGTGAAGGTAAAGATGATTTTTTGCCATATATTTGTTTTTATCCGTCTTATAGATGTCCGTTTGGTACACAGACTTGCTTGTCTTCAAATATTAGATAAAGGCGTCCCGAAAACCTCTATATTTAGCCTTTTCGTATTTGGTATATAAAGTTCAGAACATGCAAGAGCTGAAAAGAGCAAATTAGTCTAATTCTCATTGCTATGGACACATCAAATAACTTGCATAACAGATTCTAAATTTGTTCCTCATCGCTCTATACAAACAGACCTTGGGAGCCAAACAACTTGATCTCACCTGTTCTGTTATATATTTTTATGTTATGTAAGATAAGAACGATTAAACAGTTTTGGTAGAATGTAAATGATATTTCATGTTAGCCATTACGAATATGCTGGTGTATGGAAGCCCCATGCTCATAATACACAGGCAATCCCCATTTTTTCAAAATCCTGGATCCGCCACTGTAGTGTATTTGTAACCAATACGTTTACTTCCATTATTAAGCTTTTAGCATTCTCACTGTACGTCCTGATTCCATTCATTAGCTATTGCGTTATTTATAGTAACATAATCGTTTTGTTATCTCCCCTACGAGTGTTTTTCCCGAACAAGGTCAAAGTTCATACTAGTCCGGAAGTGATATTGCTTGGAACAGTAGCGATGCTCTCTCGCCATGGTATGGGCGCACTTCGTAACACCTCCAGGTAAATTATATATTTCCTTATAGAGTTGACGCCTTGACAAGCATTGAACGCGAGCAGTTATCGATTTTGTGCAACGTTCTATTCGTTTCCATTTAGGTGCGTGTCGTCTGCTTGTGTTACGAAGTTTTTCTTCCAGTTTTACATGTAGCAGACGACACTCCTCAGATCCAGCAGTGTCCAGGTGAAGAATTACTGCTCTACATTTGCCTCTGTGTCAATATAGCGTGTTTACTGTATTGCAATGAGAATTGAATGTTTTGACGTCCTCTCCAACAGGTTGTCGATGTGAATTCTTCTTGATGGATCGGATTTAGCAGATGAAGATTGTGACAAGATATTTAGGAAGCGAGCTGGGGAGGCATTCGAAAAACGTGAGTCTGACATATGTTTATTTTCCCTGTTAAACACTGAACCAGGGAACAGCAGGTATGTGTCATTACTTGTTTACATATTTATTTAATCTGTAAAATTCATAACATTTGAATTAAATGTGCAAATATTGCAACTGTAGACATTAGCCCCCTGGCGGTCATGTTTTGTGTACAACTAGGCCATTTGGTTTGGGGTGTGGCATTTAATGTTTTAAACGTATTTGGATTTGCATTTGAGGTTGAACAGTTTCAAGTTGGCATATTGTTTTAGTGTGATTGACATCTGTGTGGTCTGACGGAATGTTAACACACTGGAGCATTGATGTTGTTGTCATGTAAAATTCTAAACAGCAATCTACAGCATTACATATCATGTGTCCGTGTCGTTACTACATATGTAGAAGTAGAGATGAGGACGAAAGATAACAACATTTGTTTCTCTGGAACCACTGCGAAAGTTTGCATATATTGAGGTAATTCATCTCAAATATTTAAAAAAAAAATTGAATGTTTTTAAAGTATTAAAACAGTTATTGTAGAATTATTGATTTCAGTTACCATGGTTACTGCACAAGGTATATGGCTGGCATCTGAAAATAATATTCTTTTCTTTGTATGATGCTATGCAAATTACATACATCATTACATAGCTGAATACTAAAATTGACACAGCAGCTGAAAAGAACATTCTACTTGGGTATGTGGTTATTCATATCCCACTCATTGAATAACTCAGTTCTTTGAACAATATTGCATATAATGAATTAGTGAAGGTGGTGCAGACTACTGACTTACAATCTGTGCAACATTGTGTAAAGTTTGTAGTCCTTTGTGTCAATGTCATAATGAGCACACTGTTTGTTACAGTATGTAGCCATAGGCAACACGATTGTAGCTCCTGTTGTGGATATATATATATATGTCAATGTTGAAACTTGATTATCAATACTGTTTCTAGATACACCATTAGGACTTCTACCTTTTAGTTCAACCTGAATAACAGTTAGTCTGTTTACTGTTTTTCCCATGCTTATAAGAAGACAATCATAGTCTGCAGACCTGTTTAACATTTTTTGCTATTTTACACACTATTACATAAAGCCTCACAGCTCCAATACTGTTGTAACATAATTTAGGATTCTTGGCAAACCGGGACAAACTGATTGCTTATTTTCTCCAGCAAGCAGTCTTCCCCTCATGGGGCAATTACAATAGCTAATGCTTTTGTCTACAGACACCGAGGTTATCTTAAGTCAATACACACAGTATAATGCTTCCTTTCTGCTTAAACTTTCTAAACTTTCTTCAACGATACACTTACTCCTTAGTTAAACATTCCGTAACAAACGAATATTAAGCTTTTACATATATCAAATAATCCATTTGATTTAGGATGATTTAGCCTCTGTGGAACCTTATCAGTGTGGTAATTTGTTTTCTGTCTACTGGATTCAGTGTTTTTTTGTATTACTCAGAATTATTTCATCTGTCTATGTCAGTTTAATCTCTAGAAAGGTATTGGAATTGCCTAAGACACTTTTGAAATTGTTCAAATCATTAAACATGTACAAGAAATTAGAAATAACGGACAATGTCTAACAGGATTACTGGAAGTATCGAAAAATCCATATCTCCCTAAAAAGAAATTCACTACTTTATGCAACTTCAGCATTGGCATCGGCTGTGTTGCCCACTTGAATTAAGATTTATTGTCTTCTTTCTTACATGGACTGCCATGACTACAGTTGTATACTGCAAGTCAGTTTCTTGTGTATACAGTTCAATTCCCTGTAGCTATTGTAGAGTTTTTTCATATACATATTAGGTATCTGATAAGTGTTTATTCCAGGTTGGTGCATGCAGGGTTTTAAATGACACAGAAGAGTGTGCCCTGTTTGCATAAATACATATTGTGTATACATATTGCATCCCGAGGGAATCACAATGATATTCATTATTCTTATATAATTATAAAGGCACTGTAATTAGAGTAATTATCAAATTTTACTCACTCACTCACTCATAGTATCTTATTGTTATACAATTTTAACAGTTCACAATTTGGAAGTCTACTTCTTGTACTGATGACAGGTACTTGTGATCATTATTCAGTGAAGTGCTGACATCTGTACTTCAATTATGTTGGCACACAAATTTCCATCAAATATTTTAGATATATGCATGTGGTGCCATGAGAGTTGTTATATGGTGCCTGGCACAGATGCAAAGAGACAATGACATGCATGTATCAATACCCACCATGGGCGGATACAGCTTTTTTGAAAAGGGGGGGTGCACAATTAAGATCTATTTATTGTCTTTGCTGGTAATTTATACAGAAATAAAGATTTTTTTCGAAATAAAAAGGGGGGGTGTGCATCCCCCCTCTGCATCCGCCCATGCCCAATGTAATTAGAGTAATTATCAAATTTTATGGTACAGTACACTATGCCATTTCATTACTTTACAGGACCCTCATATCTCCTGTAAGGACCCTTGAAATTAGTTGTTGGGATTCCCTGGACCCTCAGTTTTGAAGGTTTAGGCTAACAACCCCTGGGCATGGCAGCATATTGCTATGTCTATATCAATTGTCATGCGAGATATATCATATACGTGCCCTACAGTTTTACGCCACCTCTAGCAATGTTGTAGCAATATTTCAGCAATATCACATCTGTGGACACAATAAATGGGCTTCAGAACAAGTAACAAGGCTGGGAATAAAAACACTGTCCTTCGGCATGATAAGCAGAAGCTATCAGGGATTTATCTAGCCCTGTCCAGAGACCGATATTCAGCCCCAAGTCTGTAGCTATTGTTAGCATAAATTCCCTTGTGGGAATTAAAAATTCCCTATTTCATGTTATATTGTTATAACTAATGTGATGGCTTGGCCGTGGTGACTTGTAATCCATTGATAACAGAACCAAAAAAGAGAAAGAGGCTTAATTTTGCATTATTGCATTGAATGCAATGTTGCAATGCAGTGTCAAAATATCTCTGAAAATAGGAACTTAAAAAAATCCCCATTGTTAACAAAATAACATATATATTTTTCCAATTTGCCTGTAAGGGCACTTAATTTGGAATCCTAGATAAAACCCTAGCTTCAACCACTAGGCTACCCCATCACCTCAACGAGAACAAACGGCTAACAAAGACAAGCTTTCGGAAGGTCATAATTTTAAAAAATGTTTTGTATAGACTTCAGTGAGGCTGTTGTTTTTCTTTGTAAGACAAAAACAGATGGTGAAATTCAGAAACTGTTATTTCCAGGGGCTATTGAGACAAGCTTCTTTTCAAACCGTGGCCTCTTCTCAGCAACAAAAACAGTTGTTTATCCTAAGCAATACATAACATGTAAGGCCTGGATTCTGCTATGCAAATGCCGTGTACAATTAGCAATCAGTTTGTTACAAAGAGTGTAGTAGCACACCTCTGGGAAAATAAGCAAAACAGTCATGGAAAACTCCAACGATATATGGCATGTAACCAATACCTCTAACAATAGCCTGAAGATGGAAAACTGCATGCTTCATTTCAATAATGTTAGCCTCGTCAATCAGTTCCCTCCTGTGTTTACCTCCGTCTTGCTGGAGGGGAGGCGGAATTATGGCAGCCCTTGAGACTGCTCACAGGAAGGACAGGTTCAATAATCCTATTACAAAAAAGTTATTTATTTCTCTTGTCAGTGTTTATATTTTTACTCTTTCTTATTCTGATGTGCTGCTCAGCATGTATTGCTCAGATCTATATTACAACAGTAACAATTTAAAAGAATTTCTTTGCAAAAATGGCCATAAGGGTCCCATTTTAAACAATACATGTTACCCAGACTATATTGCCTGCATTTTTAGCATCAGGAGATTAGTTTGGCATTTGATAAACTTGTTGAATATTGCTGCACTCCTTTTTAAATGCTGTTCTTCATACTCACTTACAAATATTTTGACCTAGCTCTGTGGCTTTCATCACTTCCACTTGCAAATCGCAATCACAGTATTTGTCTTTATATTTTCTAAACTAGAAACATTTCTGACTTCGAAAGATGCAAATTTCGAGAACCCATTGTATGATGATCTAATCATGAGATCTATCCTGTTGACCAAGTCGTCTAAGGCGCCTCAATTCACTGTTGCAGGGTTGTGTTACTTTGGCACACCAAAAACACATGATCGTGGGTTCCATTCCCGGTTCAGCCTGGGTTCAGCTTGGTTTTTCGCACCATACCCGTATCACTTCAGGCTTTCCTCCCACATCAAGCTGACATGCCGTGATATAACTGGAACACTATTAACAACAGCTTTAAACCCAACTCACTCACTCACTCTCAAGATATGGACTAATATCAGATCATATTAGACCAAACGTAATTTTACTTGTCTCGGCTAAAGACCAGTGTTTAAAGTCTGGGAGGAAAAGGGATATTAGAATCTGTACACTGATGTAATTATTGGTTTTTGTATTCAGTTTGACATGCATCTTTGTAACAATGCTTTTATTGAATTGACACAATCAGACACCAAGATCATTGTGTGTATTTTGTATGCAGCTATGTTCAGCAGTTGGGAATGGTATTGATCTGAAGCAGTAAAACATATGGCACAGGTGTCAGCTCGGTAGTTGTAGTCGTATGTACCAACAGGTGTTCACGTGTTGCCAGTGCAGCTGATGGAAAGAGGAGGAGGCTTGCCCATAGCATGACTCCGAGCTGGCTACTGGTCAGCACGGTCGACTCGTTTGTTCTCTCTGTCTGCAAAAGGAACTCCAATTAAGGCATATTTCAGGTATGTGATTTCTCCTGCTGACATTCATAATATTTCCTATAAAATATTGTATTGAGTACATATGCATTATGAATTCAGTAGTTGTATTGATAACATTTGGGTTGCCATATTTTCGATTTTCCTGCCATGCAATCGGATGGGCTTCCTGAAAATATTATTAGTTCTAACCCTGAAGATTGTCTAAATAGCTCAGTTTCATTTGAGTGAGTG